TAACCCCTGGTTTTATGAGTTTTAAATAACTGTTTTGATATGCATTGTCTCAAGGCAAAATTCTTGAAATGCTTTTACCTGTAGAAAGACAAGTGACCCTGCCTCTTTTCTTTCAAGATACAGATTATAGCAGTGAAGAAGAGGTTGCTCCCCCTGTAGCTGATGTTGTTCCTTCGACTAGTAGGCAACACCGCGTCCGAACCCGTGTTATAGCCAGAACTCAGCAGAGTGAACGAGTTAGAGAAACAGTGAACAGAAACCGCTTGACAACAGCACAACAAATTCAGGTATTTAGGAGTATTTGCTAATGAGCTTCTGGAATAAGCTTCTGTAAGAGTTTAAATAAGTCGTGTTCCCCCCCTGCCCGTTAAGTAGCTCAGTTGTCTGTATTGACTGTCCTTAGCACAATGGTTAGTAGTTGTGGAGTTCTTTTAAACTGAGATGTAGAACACGTGCAAGTTGAGTGTAGCACATAACTAAAACTCTCCATTTTGAAATCTGTGATGGCTTCCTCTGTTAATCTGCATTTTTATCATCTCATCTGTGAGCAAAATAGTATTTTTATTCCCAGTGGGTGTTAATGCCTGATTTGTACATCACTTCTGTTTTTTTAGCATGCTTTTTTGCAGAGACAGGGCATGTTTATTTGACTTTTGTATGTTTGGTTACTTGTCCTCCTGCCCTCTTTCCCATAGCAGTAGAACCCCTTGACCAACTTCAGCCAAACTGAAGAGAAAAATCAAAGAGGGTATTGAGGGAGGCAGCTTGTTTTGTAATTAATCTGTTCTGTGGGTGCCTAAGCTAGTGGTGGTTAGATGAACTATTTTAGGTTCTTCTAGAAAAATACGTTTAGGCAAATGTTCAAGGTCTTTCTTTACTCCATCCTGTTCTCCTCCAAATGAGAACGCCTTATGTAATATTTATTGACACCCGTGATACTTAAAACAATGGTGTTCTAACAAAAACAGCTCACTAAAATGGTTTGGAGCATGCATTAGTGACACTAACAGAGAAGCCTGGTGAAATTACTTCCGTAGTGAGATGAAGTTTGTGTTTCTGTTGGCACTGCAAAATACGCTCAAGTCATCCTACTCTAGTGATTGTGCCACATATATGTTTTGTAAACGGTGAAGGATCTGATGCATATGCTCGTGTAGAAAGTCAGCTCAGTGAAAAATCTGTGACATCAGAGGCAGCTTTTTATCACTTCTTGATGCACTGTAGTTGCTTGAAGACAGGAGAGGGGGTAGGAAAGATGTCCCTGCCCATGGCAGAGGGTTGGAACTAGATGACCTTTTAAGGTCCCTTCCAACCCAAACCATTCTGTGATTCTGTGACTCTGTTACATTTTTGGAATGTGGGCATGGCCAACTTAACACAGCTGTGAAGAGAAACCTTGCTCTTAACATCTTTCCAACCGAAGGAAGGAACAAACCTGTGCTATGTTTGCCCAGCAAAGGAGGCTTTCAGCTTACGTGCCGAGGCTGGTGGTTCAGAATCCCTACACTTCAAGTGTGTTTTGTTTTAATGTGGTTGACCCTTGAGTATAGAGGAATTTGAGGCTTGTAGGAGCAGCTCCTGCTTATTGCAATGGGGTGATGCTCTGGAGGGGGACTCACACCTGCCATTTCAGTGAGTTCCCTGAGGTGTATGTTTGAAATGCTGCCTCAGGATGTGTTTCACAGCTTTAAGTCAATCTGACCTAAAGAATGAGGAGTTTAGGACAGGGGACTCATACTGTGGTGGCTTTTCAGTCTTTCTGATTGCATTTTGATGCGTGATGAACCAGAGGTCAGTTAAGTGAATTTGGGAAAGTTCACTTGAGAACTTTTTCATTGAGGAAATGGCAATCCCAGGGATTGTTTTCACTTGAAGAGTCAGTTAGGCTAACCATGACTTACAGTACTGAGAGAGGCTGAAGAGCAAGGTCATGTTCTCCTTAATGTGACAGTCAGTAGGTGAGAAAGGTGACATAATTGCTTAATTGGCAGCTTGGTGATAAAAGTGCTTCTCACTCGAATCTCAAATCCATTTTTCATCACATGCTTTTATAATTAACTTGTTGCTGACCTTTAGGTACCTGTATCATCTAACTTTTAATCCCCCACGCAGAACATGCCAAGCAGCCTCACATCATCTCTTCTGGATGAAACCATTGAGGCAGTTGTAGCAGCCGCAGCCGCCCACCAGCGTCCTCTTACACCACAGGCTCCTATGAGGCAGGAGGAACAAACAGGTAATGGTATCCAACACCTTCTGTGGTTCCGATCTGGAAGACAAAAAGCTTTGGGATGATAAGCCTGAAGGTTGGAAGGGACGTTAAAGCCCATCCAGTCCCACCCCCTGCCATGGGCAGGGACACCTTCCACTAGACCAGGTTGCTCCAAGCCTCATCCAGCCTGGCCTTAGACACTTCCAGGGATGGGGCATCCACAGTTTCTCTGGGCAACCTGTCCCAGGGCCTCTCCACCCTCCCCAGGAAGATCTAATCTAAACCTCCCCACTTTCCATTTAAACCCGTTACTCCTTGTCCCATTACTATGGAGCCTTGTAAAAAGTCTCCCCCCATCTTCCTTGTAGCCCCTTCAGGTACTGGAAGGTGCTATGGGGTCTCCCCAGAGCCGCCTCTTTTCCGGGCTGAACAAGCCCAATTCTCACTTGGGACTTGATTATGCAACAATTTCACTTTTTCTGCTCTGCTGTTTTATACTGTTGCAGCATAACGTAGGTCTCTGAGTTGATTTCTGTGCCATGGGGGAATGAAAGAGGAGTGGAGGGTAAAATGCAGTGCCAGCACTTAGCCTAATACCTGGTTGTCTTTTGTCCCATCAGGTAGGAGGAAGAAAGCCAGGAAAAGAACTCATAAAAAATCAGGGAAACGGCCAAGGAGACGCAAACGTCCGAGGAAGAAAAAGGGGAAAAAGGTGAGAGTAAGAGCACGTGTGAGTTTCTCCCACTGTCAGTATCTGCCGTTTTTTTTTTCAGTCATCTGTAAAAGCCCTATAACATGGGATTTAATGGAAGAAAAATACTGCCTTATAATGATAGCGGATAACTTTTCCCTGGTGGGAGTATGTGCAGGATGTACTCCAGAAAGATGCCGTACGTGGAAATGAATTGCAGCTTCCAGACATGCCTGCTGGGTTTGCTGACAAATCCTCTTCCCTGAACTGTAGGGATCACGCTGTAAAGCGTGTCCTGCAGGCTTCGTGTTACGCCTTGCCTTTCAGCTCTGCCAGCTTAGTTAAGACTGCCACCACCTATTCTTTTGAGTAGGCTATGGGTGATTGTGCCTGTGGTGTTGCAAACCCAGTTCATCAGCCGGAAGGGCTCTCAAAATCCCTTTCACATGTGGATAGTGTTCTCATGTGGACTATACTGCATACCCTGCACCAGCTTGACTTTTGCCCTCAGCTACCTTAACTAGAGTTTAAATCCTACACCCAGAACTGTCCCTCCAGCCTTTTAATAAGGAATAGACAATTTTGAATGACTTTATTAAAGAATTTTATATAGAGAACTTATCTGATCACTTAAATCTGATACTTGCAGTCTCTGTATGTAGTGACATGGTCAAAGGTTTCCTAAATGCTCTAAAGCAAATGTATGTAATAATAAATGCACACCACTTCTGCTACTGATGGTAGTAACCTGCAACCAAAGCAAACTTAGCCTAAGTGAAGAATTTGGGGCTTTAAGCCTAGGGGACGTACCTGCCTTAACATACAAATAACACAACCTCTTTATCTGTGCAGGCAAAGAAATCGTCTACTGCTCGCTCCCGTATTGCAAAAGCTCTTGGTATTGGTAAACCTGCGTACGGGGGCTTGCTTCCTTCTATGCACAAACCATCAGAGCCCTCGCTTGATATGATGAGAGCAGATATTGGTGTAGCTTCTCTGTCTGTGCTGGGAGACCCGCATGAGTTGGATTTTTGCGAAAGGTAAGGGATCTCTGGGTTATGATCCAGGTAATTTCACAAGTGTTGGGTTGTTTGTACATGTGACTCTTGGCAGAGTGTAGATCTCGGATCTAAAGACAGCTTTGGACAGGCCAACACGTTGGCCTGTTCTTTCTTTCCTTCTTGCCTGAGTTGCTGAGTTCTTAAAGCATCAGCCCTCTTCAAAGAGGTTTGCTGAAATAATAAGCCTCATGAAAACCATTAGGATCTGTGGGGTTATTCAAAAGCAGAGTGAGATCATAATCAGTCATTTCTAATTGTTTATTTATTATTAAGTGAAGATAGCTAGTGTATTTGGCACGCAGTAAACAGTGACTTCACATAGAATTAAATGGACCTGTGGAATCTCCCATGTTCCTCCTTTTCCCATTTTCCCCTCTTCCTGACACTTTAAATTTAGGAGGAATCTTACTGCACTATAGTTTGTGTCACTTTTAAGCTTTGAATTTTGGGGAGGGAGCATCTGAAATTATTGTTGGTGAAGTTTAATTTTTTGATCCTTTCGTAAAAGGAGATTACCCACTTAATACTTTAAAAGTAAAAATCTACGTTTGAATATCTGCTGGCTGAGTTACACTAGTCTGTGTAACCACAGAAAAGAAGTGTAGATGTATATATGCATTAAGTTTTTTTTTTGAATGTATCATAATAAAACAAACAATGCTCTCTAACCACATCTGCCTGAGTGGTATTACCCACTTTTTCTATTTGACATGGAAAAACATTCAGACAATTTCAGGGTTCATGTGTGTGTTCTGTCCACAGTAATGGCGAGTTTCCAGCAAATGCAGATTCACCAGTGAGTGCGAGGAGAGTTCTCTCTCAGTCAGCGCTGAGGTCTCACCAGCCTGTCGCTAGACCTGTTTCTATGGGACTTCCCAGGTAAAAATCCATCCAGTTATTTATTTTTCTTAATTGTCTAATGACCCTAACAAAAGACCAAACTCAGTGATTGTCCTGGTTGAACTCTTACCCTATTTTGAAAGACCGTGGGTGTGCCCATGCCTGCGTGTGTGTAGATAAATAACCACAGCATTTCAGGCAAGAATTCTTTTTCTGTGTTGAAGGACACACACTTACTTTTTCATAATAGCTCTGATTATTGCACTGAAATTTCAGATCGGTATTTCCACTATAATCTGGCTCTTGCTTTCTGTTTTGGGTTTATTTAGTAACCTCGTTAGTATGTGTTAAACCCCAGCCTCGTTAACCTTTAAAAAAAACCCACTTGCTTAGTTAGAGGGCCAGGGAATCTAATTACACATCCAGAGGAAAAGATGAGGGATGTACCCACCTCACCCGATTCCTCTGCCGTTTGTTTGAGCTCAGAAAGTTGAGAGAAAAATCTGTGACCAGCAGGTTTAACAGTTGCTTTGCTGTCGGACAGATGCCTCTGTGTGTGCAGACTGTGTGTCCCAAGCCCGCCAAAAACCCACTTGCTTAGTTAGAGGGCCAGGGAATCTAATTACACATCCAGAGGAAAAGATCAGGGATGTACCCACCTGGGGGGTAGGAAACAGGGAGCAGGAGCATGAGGAGAAGAAAAAGGATGGGGAAAATTACTGGGGCCTGTACCAACCATGTCCTGGAAGACTGCAGGGCTGAGCGAGGTAGAGACTAGGAGAAGTGAGGGGAGCTCAGCTTAAGTGATTAAAGGTGTGTGGGGTTTACCTGACTGTCCTCTAGTGCATCTGGCTTATGGCAGAAGTTGGACTCTCGGGATTAAGATAGTATATTTCTCTGATAACTTGAAATATTTCTCCACCTTTCCCATCTCAGTCCTGAAGGAAGCCTTTCAGGAAGCTTTTCATGTTCCTTGAGTTATTTGAGTAGCACACTGTTTAGAAGGTAGAACTGTTTAGCTGAAATTTGGCTTTTCTAACGGCCTGGGCTACAGTGAGTTTCCTGGTCTGACCTCGGTGGCCAGTTCTTTTAGCCTTCCCATTTTGTCAGCCTTGTTATACAGAAAGGAAATGTAGCTCCCTCCTTTTTGAAGTGTTGTTATTTGTTGGGTTTTTTTTTTTTAAACCCAAACAAAACAAACCCCCAAAATCCCACTAACAGCAGAGCAAACAAAGAAAACCAAAAAAGCCACACCCCAACACCAAAATGCTCAAGCCTTGTCAGTCTGTATTTTAAGTACAGAGAACTTCAGAGTTAAACCATTTTCATAAGATTAATACATAAAGTTTTTTAGATAGAAGTGGAGGGAATACCTTTGTGATCGTGATTTAATGGGAGGAAGAGAGGCAGCTGGGATGGAAATACCTCTGAAATGCAGAACAATGGTTTACACTTCAAATATGAGTCTGAAATGCACTGGAAAGTTAATCTTGATGCACAACACAACGAGCACCACTCTTAAATAAGATTAAAAGCATATTTACCAGCGGTCTCCAGTATGATTACATGCTTTCCTATCCTGTGGTGTTCCTGTGGGAAGTCAGTAGAAGCTTCACCATCTCTTTGTTAGAGAAATGGGGCCTGAATGACTCTTGTGAACCAAAACTAGAAGTGAACTTCCCTGCTTGACCTCTGTTTATGCCCTCGATGTTTGGTTTCTTTTTAATGTTGTGTGTGTGTGTGTGTGTGTGTATAGTGCAAGTGCTGTAAGAGTAAAGGAAATATAACCCCTCTGAAACCTGCAGAAGCAGTGTACCTTCCTTGAGTCCTGATCAAGGAGCGGGAGCTGCCCCTGTGCCTGATCTGTTGGGAAGTATCCTGTCTGGACAGACCCTTCTCATGATGAAGAGTTCGGATGTGGTCATCAACAGAGATGGTACGCTGATGGCAAAGACAGGTAAGGGTTTGGCACTTGATAGTGCCATTAGCCTCTTTGTTTCATCCACGGGCTGTGTGGCTTCAAACGTAGGGATGCTTACGGCGCATTTGAACGTGTAGGATAGGTTCAGTAGTCGCCGGCAGTAATGGATGCTCTGACTTAGTGTTACTTGTCTCTGTTTTAGTTGTGGAGATGAGATGTTACTGGAGGATTTGGGGTTTAATAGGTAGCTTTCTTCTTTCCAAAGTACTGCACTGTAGTTTCATGCTTTGTTATAAAAAACGGAGGGCTGGATGGAGCGGAGATATCCTAATACCCAGCTCTTTGGCATTTGTCATGTGTTGCTGCCATGCCTGTGAACTCTGGTTGGAAGAGCAGCGATGAAGACCTTGGCAAGAACTTTCTTTGCAAAAGCAGAGCTCTAGAATACATGCTAGCATCTTCGGCTGTGTCTTCCTTGGCATGGTATTATTTGGAAAGAGTCTCTTTGAATTGAAACGGAGATTGTTATTCTTAAAATAAGTACCTATAACATCCTCTGTTGTAGTCATGTTTATCAATCAGTGACTACAGGATAATAAACACAAATTTAGTCATGTCCACAGAACAGCATAATTTATTTCTTAAACATTAGCGTTTATCTTAAAGTGGCAGTTTTCTGGCATTAAAACTTGAGCATCTGACCAAAATAACTATTGGACTGCCTTATTACTGTGTGGTATGTCTAAAAACCAAAGTGGAACTTCAAATAATTAGCACAGTACTTCTTAATGCTGGGGGAAATGTCCAGGTCTGTACTGAAAAGCTTAATTGTTTGCTTGTATGCCGTAGCTTCACTTCCTAGAACACCAGTGAATGACTCAAGAGCAGATGGTGATTCAGGAGATAACACCCAGCCGAGTACTGTGCACTCCGGGACCTCAGCAAGCAGCCCCGTTGCTGGACCTTCGGTTTCCATGCGGCTGAGTACTCCCACCAGACCCTCCTCCTCAAGCTTTTATTCATCGCCTTCAACCTCACTGATCAGGACTGAGCCTGCAGCAAACCCTGCACAGGCTACATCAGAATATTCCAAGATACTCAGGCCTTCTCAGACTCGGAATACAGCTACTGTGAGCGGGCGTGGCTCCGTGTTAGATGAAATGCCCAGATTTAATGGAAACTTTGCATCCACTCAGTCATTTTCAAACTCTGTGAGATATAATTTGTATTCTGGCTCAAAAGCTGTAGCTGCGAGTCGGCTATTAGACCCACCTCTCGAGATAGTTGACAGCTCTGAGCTTCCCAGGACACCAACGATTCAAAAGCAAGCCGGTGTGGAACCAGAACCCACAGGAAGCCAAAGCTGTGACATCCCCAGCTGCTGTATAACCCAGCTGACTGGCAAAGAAACCACTAAGCAGCCAGGACAGGGTGGCAGGGTGCAAAGTCAGAAGTCAAATGCCAAGGAATCTCAGCCGGAAACGCTTACAAGCGGGACGTCTTCTTCTACCAATACAGGCCTGTATGGCGGTTCATTGCTGGTGGGCACTTCGAGGAGCAAAGGCCTAAGCTCTTTCGAGAGTTTTAAAATCAACATTCCTGGAAACGCAGGGCATCCCAGCAGACTCTCTAGCCCGGGATTTTGTAACACCTTCCGCCCCGTGGATGACAAAGTGCAACAGAAGGATACTCCTTCACCGGTCTTCTCAGTTAAGAAGAAGCAGGTCAAAAGTGAAATATATGATCCCTTTGAGCCAACAGGATCCAACTCGAGTTCAGCAAACAGCAGTCCTGAAAGGCTTGGCTCAGGGGTCCCACTGACTAATATTACCCGGACTATTTCCATTGAAAGTCCAGAAGTTCAGACATTTCAAACTGTCCGTAGTTTCACCCCTTACGTGGCAGAAAATGTATTTGTATCTGGGGCTGACTCTGATGTATCATCTAGTAACACAGAGTCTCATGATGACGTGACAGTAGAAAGCAGGATTGTAGAACAGATCTCGGACACAGAGGAACGAGACAACACCGACGAGGAAGACTTTCTAAGCAGTCCTTGCACTTCCTCTGCTGTTAAGCAGGTTTCTAAAGCACAGTGTCTAAAGGAGGAAAGAAGAGAGGGCCCTAATGTTTTCTTTAATGCTGAAGAACTGATTAGACCTCACATAAATGTGAAATTAGCACCAGCCAGGCCCTCAAAGAATGCTGAGCAGAAGAAAGTCCAAAAGGTAGAACAAGCAGAGAGGCGATCACATTCCAGATCCAGCTCCCCAAGCAAGAAGATGAAAAGGAAGAAGGCACTTGTCAAAGAGCATAAGAGATCCCGATCAAGGTCTGGGGGTAGAGCACGCTCAAGTTACCGAAGCTCCAGGTCTACCTCTTGGTCAGATGAAGAGTATAGCAGAAGATACAGACTGGAAACTAAGAGAGAGAGATCTACTGACAGTTCTAGCAGTTATGAGCGACCTAAAAAGAAGAAAATGAAGGCTAAAACCAAGGATAAGAAGGCAAAAACTTCTCGGTCTAGGGAGAAAAGGAAGCATAGGTCTCGTTCAGAGAGTTCTGGAAGTACTTCTGACTCTTACGGAAATAGGAAAAAGAGAAGACTGTCTCGGTCACGATCAAGACACAGGGAACGTTCCCGATCGAATAGCACTGAGAGGGCTAAAAGGCATAAACACAGGAAAGGCAAAACCTATGAGAGGTCTGATAAAAATGGTAGCTCGAGGTCAAGGGGCAGAAAGAGATCGAGATCCAGGTCTCAGGAGAGGAGAAGGGGGAGGTCTTGGTCTCGGTCTGCATCTCGGTCTCGGGAACGCAAAAGCAGCAAAACAAGGGAAAACAGATGCCGATCGAGATCAAGCTCCAGAGAAAGAAAACGCAGATCAAGAGAGCCCTCATTTTTTCCACCACCAGAAATGTGTCAAAAGCTTTCAGCTGAAGATGTCTCCGGGTGTCTGGAGCAACCTCATTCCTTCAGACAAGAGCCAAATGAGGAGCTAGTACTAGAAGAGCTTTCCCTAACCGTCCAACCAGATGTCAGACTTGAGAAAATACGGGCTGAGACACGGGCTCCGCCAAGAGAGGGCCAAGAAACTGTAAAGGTGGAGCCCATCTGCCAGGAAGTGACCAGTGAAACTGCATTCCCTTTGCCAGAGATCACAAACATTTGTGTTCCCGTTGGTAATGTCGGTTCTTCTGCTGAAATGGAATTAATGACTAGGAGTGACCCAGCAGTGCTTGGTAGCACTAGCAATAAAAACCTTGAGATTACAGTTAAAATAGAAAATACTGCATCGGGTCCATCTCAGATGGAACCACCCCCGGAGAAGGAAGTTACCGTGCATGCTCCGGCTGAGGCTGCGCCATCGCAAAGCTCATCCAAAAGCGAAGTAACGGATTATGGGATGGAGGTGAAAGAAGAGTGCCTTGGGTCGAGTGAGAAAACCAGTCACTTCACTCAGCCCGAACTGCAGGGTCCTGCACTGAGATTGAAATCACCGGTGAAGAGAGTTACCTGGAATCTTCAAGAGGAGGGAAGTGGCATGTTGTCTGCCGGAAAAGCTGCAAGTAAGTGTGTCTTTTGCAAAACACACAGCAGTCGAAGCAGGCTGTGTAAGGCTTAGGGTTTTGGTGCCTGGCTAAACCTGGTTGTAGTGGTTTCCAATCCTGGGAGCTGGCACTTGTCGAAATCATGAGGTGGGTTGTGTTAGTGAATCGGGGAGGACATACTGTCAGCACAGCTCAGCCAGCCAGTAGCAGCTTGTTTGGTCGTGGTGTGCGTTGCAGCCTGGTCTCTGAACTGGCAGCCTGTGTCCCACCCTTTCTGCAGTTCACTAGAATGGTTGTTTTGCTTTCAGGATTTATAAGTGTTTCTCAGAACCAAGGAGCATGATAAATCTCTGTAGCTCGCTCCCGTGAGCTCTGCGAAGCCAAAGCTGCTGGAAACTGCCTTGGGACCCTGTGCTGTGTATGTTGACAGAGTTGCTTGTGTGGTTCTCGGTGCTTAGGCTCATGGAAACCCAGTTAAAAGCAACTGCTCAAGGGAATGATAAGGCTTCTATTATCAGAAGCTTTAAAGTGTTGATGACAGCTAAACAAAATCCTTTTATAGCTAACTTTGTTAGATCCTTTTTATTTTAATGTTTTAAAATATAATTGGGTTTGAATATTTGACCCATTTTGTTTATTTTGTTCTTAAATGTTTTCTTTTGCTTCTTTTAGGCCTAGGGATGCCGTTTTACAAACTCCAGCGAGCAAATGAAGGCGACTGGAAAGCAGAGGACCTGAACCAAATGTTAAATCAGGTGCAGTTAAATGAGCCTCCTCCAACCAATTATATGATTCCTGAGCCTATGTTTCCTGATCTAGATTCCTCTCAGGTTGGTTCCTGTTCCAGCACCCAAGTGTCATGGAAGGCATTCCGCCTCATCCATGCCCTTGTTGTGCAACACCCTCCTCTCACGGCAGAGTTCGCCTTCCTCTGTGCGTGGTACATCTCATACAGCCCGTACACCTCAGCGATCCTCTGATCTCTCTGGTGGTCCTTACAGTTGGAGAGGCACATTTTATTTTCATTTTAATTCTGCTCTAAACGTGGCAGCTTCTCTTTCTGGCAGTAACTGGCGGAAAGATGGTGCTGTTTGAGAAGCTGTGAGCTTCTCCCTGGTAGTGATCAGGCTGTAAAAATTGGCCTGGTGGCACGTGTCCATGCTGTCCACCAGCTCAGAGGTGAATGGGGCTGGTGCACAGAGACCTAGCTGAGAGCTGGGATGTTAGCCTCCCTGATTTCAGCTAGTGATTGCTTGCCCTTTTGAGTGGATAAATAGTGCTCTGAAAATCCTGATCTGATGCTCTCTTGTAAGTACAAGCACTTACAAAATGCTCTCTCTTCCGCAGGTGTTCTGTCAAAATACACCTTTGATGGCACCTCTGCCCTCATGCCTTCCCCTTTACGCTCCTGTCAGCCAGCCCACGGTTCAGTTTGTCGTGCAGGGTGGTCTTCCAACCCTTGGCTGCATGACTGGACAGAGCCTGACTCTGGAGCCGGTCAGACTGGCTACTGCATCCGAGCCAGGAATCCAGGCTGCTTCCGCTGTAAATGTAGAAGAAAAGATCAAAGCACCCAGACCTGCAGTGGATAAAACAAAAAATGAGGAAGTGAGTGAACTCTATGAAGTAACAAAATGCATAACATTAATGAGCTGTGTATTTGAACTTTTAAAGTTTTGGGGTTTTTAACTTGATCTGTACTGTATTTTCCCAGCCCCTGTTGTCACTTGGTTTTGGTGACTGACTGTGCTAACCATAGCACAGTGGATGTTAACACAAGAACAAAAACTTCTTAGCCAATTACTTTACTTTCTACCACAAAACAAAACAGTAAGTCATGAGCACAAGTTCTTATGAACTTGTTATGATGTCATCTGTTATCCATAATTTATCAGCAGCTCTGCAATTCTCAGAATTCCTTTAGAGCCACCCGAAGTTTTATATTTCCAGCTATGACTTGTTGCTTTTAGAATCTGATGCCTTTTTGTGGATCTTTGTTTACTTCAGAGCTGTTGGAAGGGAAGGAGGAGACCAAAATTAACAGGTGGACATTGTAGTCACTTGTTTAAAACACATTCTCTAAGACATAAAATAAATGTTAAGTACAACAAGGGCTCCTCATAGCACGAAATGGTATTTGTTTCGAGCCTGCGGTTTACAGTAAAGGAAACTCCTGTGAGGCTAACTCTTACTTGGGTCGTTGAAACTGTGAAATGAGTGTTTTCACTGTTAGAGCATTTCTAAGAAAAATAGATTCAGAAACCATTCCCAAGATAGAACAAGTAACGAACTTCTCTTTGCTGTGCAGTACATGAAGAAGCTTCACATACAAGAACGGGCTGTGGAAGAAGTGAAACTTGCTATTAAACCTTTTTACCAGAAGAGGGAGATTACAAAGGAGGAATACAAGGACATTCTTCGAAAAGCTGTGGAAAAGGTAAGGCAACAGCGAAAGAACAGGAGGAGGAGGAGCTGTGCACATCGTTAAATTAGTGGCAGTACTTTGGATTGGAGTTGCCAGCTTTGGCACTGAGCAGCAGATCTTTGGACACTGACTCCTACTCTGCAGTCCTGTGGTGAAGCCACAGTGGCTTTAAAGAGGAGTGAGTGATGCCGCTGATGAGAGCTGTCAGGCTGTTCCTTTTAGAAGCTCGTGTTTTCAGTGCTAGGAACGCTGCTAGGCTTAAGCTGCCTGAGCTGAAGTGGTACCGGCTACGTGCCTCGGGTGAGAACGGTCAAACAGCTCTCATGAAGAACTTTGCCCAGAATCGTCAAGCTGCTCCTGAGAAAAGGAGAAAATACTTTGTGTGTTAATTCCTGGAGCATTCAGGTGTCCCTGAACTTTGGAAGAGGGCCTTGAGATTTGGCTGATGTTGACTTTTGTCTCAAATATTAGTGCTAACCAGATCATGGCTAAAAAAGGCCTGATCAGCAGGTAAATGTTGTCTTGTGAGAGCAAGTAATGCTCTTATGGTCAGGGCAATTAAATGATACCCTGGAGAACTGTATTCTCTCCCTGCTCTGCACTCTTGCTATCGCTGAGGAAATTCCATCATAAATGAAAATTCCTGAGATAATGGATGCAATTTCACATCTTCTACATGACCCGTATGAGCCTCAGGTGTTGTTTGTAGGAGAGCTGGGTGACACCGGTTGCTGCCGAAGTCACTGAGAACCCTTATCTGAACACTGATAAAGTCTAGGGTCTGTTCTCTGTCTCCCTGTATTGGGTGTGTATGACAAGGTTTTGGTAGTGGTGGGGCTACAGGGGTGGTTTCTGTGAGAAGCTGCCAGAAGCTTCCCCTGTGTCTGACAGAGCCAATGCCGGCTGGCTCCAGGATGGACCCGCTGCTGGCCGAGGCCGAGCCCATCAGGGACAGTGGCACAGCCTCTGTGATAACGTATTTAAGAAAGGAAAAAGAAGAGGGCAAGAGAATTGCAGAGAGGAGTGAGATGTGAGAGAGGGAGGTCTGCAGACACCAAGGTCAGGGGAAGAAGAGGTGCTCCAGGTGCCGGAGCAGAGATTCCCCAGCAGCCCATGTTGGGCAGGCCGGGCCCTGCAGCCTGGGGATGACCCTATGCTGGAGTGGGGGGTATGCCCTAAGGGGGCTGTGACCCCGTGGGCAGCCTGCGCTGGAGCAGGTTCGGTGGCAGGACTTGTGACCCCGGGGTGACCCAGGCCGGAGCAGTTAGTAAAGTTAGTACCTGGAGAAGGTCATGGAGGACTATCCGGTGGGAGGGACCCCAGGCTGGAGCAGGGGCAGAGTCTGAGGATCTTTGCCCTGAGGAGGAAGGAGCAGCAGAGACATGTGATGAGCTGACCACAACCCCCATTCCCCATCCCCTGCACGGAAGTGGGGGAGGAGGTAGAGAAAAGCAGGAGTAAAGTTGAGCCTGGGAACGAAGGGGAGGAGTAGGGGGAAACTATTTTAAGATTTGGTTTTAGTTCTCTTCTAATTTGATTGATTAAAAATTAAATGAACTTTCCCCAAGTTGAGTCTGGTTTTCCCCTGACTATGATCGCTGAGTGATCTCTCCCTGTCCTTATCTCGACCCACCAGCCTTTGGTTCAGTTTCCTCTGCCCTGTCCAGTTGAGGATGGGAGTGACGGTGCAGCTTCAGCGGGCACCTGGCCTGCAGCCAGGGTCAACTCGCCACACTCCCATGTCTCCAAGTGGGCCCTCAGAACTGCCAGATTATTTTAATCTGAGCACTGCTTCCTCAAAATCATCAGAAAAAAAGAGAAATCATCACTTCCTTTCTTACCATGTATTGTGTAAAACTGGCTGGACGGAAAAGCCCGCGGTAAAAATTAATAATTCGGCTTTTAGAGATGCTTCTGTATTCAGTTGGTGCTCAGCAGATAAGCCCTGGGCCATTTCTGGAATGCATGAAGTAAACTATTACTCTCATCCTTGTTGAGTTTTCCGCTTTACTTATCCTGCTGGGAGACCCGAGGGCCTGTGCGGGCATCAGGGCTTCTCTAGGGTTTGTTGTTGCCTGCCTGAAAAACTGTTAACTGACCGCATCCCTTGCAGATCTGCCACAGCAGAAGTGGAGAGATCAACCCTGTGAAGGTCGCCAACCTGGTGAAGGCATACGTGGAAAAATACAAACATATGAGGAAATACAAGAAGCCGGATGGTGACGACACACGTGAAGTGGACAACTTGAGAGCGGGCCGCAACCAGCTTGACTTGAAGCCCTTAACTTTTTCAGACTGCCAACACTACGACTAAGAAAATTATAGATTTACAATTTTATCTTGTTTTAAAAGTACATTGAAGCAGAATTATTATAGGACTTATCTATAGAACTTTATTTTGAATTGTTTCCATATGGGAATAAACTTTGGTTCTGATTACCTACAAGTGTAGATCTAATTATCAAACGCGTCAGACCAGCAGAGTGATTCGAGGGGAAACAGAAGAGTTTAATATTTGGGACTCCCGGATTGCTACAGTTTTTTCAGGGTTACTTTAGTCACATTTTTTGGGCTGTGCACCTGTAAGTCTGGAACTGGACACCACTTTTCATATCCAGTGTATTGAGAGCCGTTTCCCTTGTGTTTATTTATGAAAATAGAGATTGTCTTTAGAACCTTCTGATTTAATACTTGAAAATTGTTGTATTTTTAGCCTGTTTGATGGTGAGTGAAGCTTTACTCACTCTGCCATTTGGGGGATTACAGGAAGGGGTTAATCTTTATAAACTGATTTCGGAACACTGCTCAAGCTGTGGTGTTTATTTATGCTCTGTTGGAAGTATCTTGGTAGCGAGAAGTTTAATTTGGGGGTGGGAGACTGTTGCACTTCTGTAAATAATGCACTGATGGCTGGTTTTGTGTCTGCCTTTCAGGGGAAAAAAAAAAAGAGACAAAAAGCAAGCATTGTGAATTTTGTCACAAGCTGGAAGGATGAGGTTGAACTGATGTACAAAGCAGAAATGTGACAGAATTTATAAAGCTATTTTGAACGGTTTTAGTCCCATAGCAGGTGTCATTTGTTTGACTTGCAGCTGCCTCTTGCCCCGGCCGTTGTGTTGAAACCTGCGTGCTTGGCTCTTGCACGAGGGATTCGGTGTTTTCTGGAAGAGGACTGGAGCGGGATAAGTAATTGTTGTTCCTCCTTTGTAGGAGGACTGGTTTTCCTATTGAGGAGTAAAGGACTCCAGCACGCGGCGCTGACTTCATCTTGCTTCCCTTAAAACCGCCCCTTGTCCGCACGTACCGCAGCGCAACCGATCCTTGCTTATCCGAAATACTCACTTCCAAATGTATTCAGCACCCTTGAAGCTGACAAAAAGCATCATTCCCCATCTGACCACGTCTGGGAGAAGACACTTAACAGGGAAGTGGAAGAAAAAACCAGTAAGTACAACTTACACTGTCTTTCCCTTCCACAGCGGGAACGGAATGCACGTGGCCTATTGGACAAGGTGGCAGCAAAAGGTCTTCCGTGAGGGCTTTCCTAACCTCGTAGAGTGCACTTGGAAAGTCTCCTCTTCCAGCATAGTCTGGTTGAAAAGTTTGGCTCTCTGGGATGAGTCTTATAAAGCAAATAGCTGCAGCTCTGATCTTTTTAGCTTTTTTTTCCGGATAAGCGTAGGAAAACTCAGGAATGGCAAGACCTCTGATCCCTTTGGAGCATAGGAAAACACGAATGGCAAGACCTCTGATCCCTTTGGAGTGAACTCCAGTTTCTGAGGTTCTTGTTTGCTCGCTGTAATTTTGGCTGTCGTTCCAAGTAGCTGGTTTGGGGACTTTCAGAAATATAATCTAAACTAAACAAACCCCTACGCCAGCCTTGTCTGGACTGGCAAAAGGCTTCACTCCCATCATTCACCATCCTAAGGAAGTGTTTATGGATGAGCCACGCGCTTTCCTGAATACGCTTGGGCTGGAAGTGGGGCGCTTTGGGATGTACCCGTGGAATTGTTGTGGAGTGACCTGCCTGCATGAGTGAGACGGGCAGGCGCTGTGAAAAGTGAAGCCTGACCAGGCGATAGCGGCAGCGACACTGTTGGCCCGGAAGGCAATGTCAGCCTGGTTGGTTCCCCAGACCGCTTTACATTCCTGGCTGGAGTTAGCCTTGAGTTAGCCGTGAAGATAACGGCCTGTTTCCAGGTGGGTTAGGAGTGCATGTACTCGAAGAAACATACCTAAAAATGTTCTTCTGGCATGTTCTAGGAACAGTTTTTCTAGTATACACAGCATACTATTTGCTTTCTTTTCCTTTCTCGTTGGCTGTCCTGCATCTGATGCTGCCACCTGCTTAAGGGGAAAAAAGACTTATTTGTTCAACCCGTGCAGTGGTTGGGTAGCAGCACGATCTCTTCTGACTGCCCTTTCCCTCCTCTGTGGCAGTGGGAACACCAGATGCGCCTTTAGCCAAGGTGGGGAGGCTGCTGTGAGAAGTCGGCTGCTCTGCCACCGTCTTCATCCCGTCGGTGACCTCCAGGTCTCTTCTGGGACGTGTCCATGGCCCCTGTATCCGGCCAGAGGTGGTTGGGAGCTGCTCTGAGGATGGATGGAGAAAGAGAGGGTGGAGTTCTCGGGGAGGCGGGGAGCGAAACCAGAGGAGGAAACAAAAAGGGGAGGCCGAGTGAGGAGGATCCAGCTGGTGCCACGCTGCGGGGCCATGACCCAGCCTGGAGCCTGTGAGTAGCTGCCCTGGCTGTGCCGCGCTGGGTCAGCAGTGGTGGGAGCCCTTGGGCTTGTCTCTCTGATGGCGCCGGAGGAGGGACCGGGCATTTGGGAGAGGGTGAAGGCTTGCTTTCCTGCTGGGCCCATTGCGCCTCCCAGGTTTAGGTGGTGATGCTGAGAACCCGTGACGAGCGGGGTGACTTGCGCAAGGGGATGGCACGCTCGGCACTGTCTGTGAGGAAGTGAAACGAGGGAGGGGGCGGCAAATCTGACCCTGTTTTGTCCTAGTGTCGTGTGATCCCCATCCCACATCCCCCTGGCACGCTTTTCGCCTGCAAACCTTTCTGCTCTGAGCACCCTCCTTTCAGGGGTGTTCTTAGCCGTCACCCTCCTGCACGCCCTGTTTTGCAGGGGACCCTGTGTTATCCCCCCCAACTCTCCTGGGGCTGGGAGCATCCCTGTGGGGAATTGCAGCGTGCATCTGGAGCACGAGAGGATATGAGAGAGGAAGCATCTGACCTCACTAGCTGTGGTCGGGGGTGGGCTGGGGATGTTGGAGAGCAGCTCTCCTGACGTTGGCTTTGCCCTGCCAGCCCACTGCTGGGATTAGAAACCTGCTGGTTTCGGACTAGATGCATCTGTGGCTGGAGCTGACAGTGCTTGAAGGAGAGCAAAGCTGTTAACGTGGCACTTGGGCTACACGTCAACGTGTGGTGGGCACGGGTTCTTCCTCTGTCTTCAGATCCTGCCTCGCTTTTGGTTCCCCTCTTGGGAGGACACGGGAGCTGCTCAAGCAGCAGCTGTAATCCTGCTGTTCAAACAGCTCCTGTGTTTCGCCTCTGATTTTCCTTTGCTGACTGAAATGATCTCAGCGTCGTGCAGAGCTCAAGGGAAAAAACAGTCTGCAACCTCGTTGTGGTTTAACCCCACCAGCATATTTTTAATGTGGGTTACAGGGACTTTTTCGCCTTCTACAGCACATGGAAGTTTCGCTTGTGCAGGGCCAGCCTGCTTGGCAGATCTTCCAGTGTTGCCTAACCAGGTGGCTTTTGCTAAATGTGCGTCCCAGTGTTGGAAAATCCCACCACCCAACTTACATACTGAGCATGGCCTTTTATGGAATGAAAGGTCCCTTTGGTCAGTTTGGGTCAGCTGTCCTGGCTGTGTCCCCTCCCAGCTTCTGGGAGCAAAGAAGCTGGGAACACAGCGGCAGTATCAGAAACTGAAAAAGTCCTTGACTTGATACAAACATTGCTTGGCAACAATTGAAAACAGGAGTGTCTTATCAATATTCTTCTCAGCCCAACCAAAACACAGCCTCATTCTAGCTACTGTGAGGAAAACTAACTCTATCCCAACTAAACCCGGTGCAAACCCAAAGGGTGGAAGTCCCTCTTAACCACCTTCCCCATCCCATACATCCAGGTACGGAGCAGGAGGATGGTTTGCATGAAGTGAATCTCTCTACGCAGAGGCTGCGTGTGCTGCCTCCAGCCGTCCTGAGCAACCCCGCGCTGGAGAGCCTTGACCTCGACAGGAACAAGCTCAGGAGCATCGCTGGCATCTCTAGGCTTTCCAACCTGAAGAAGCTGATACTGTCCAAGAATGAGATTGTGGACTTTCCCAATGAAATCCAGAGCCTGGGCTGTTTAGAGAAGCTTGAGCTGAATCAGAACCAAATCCGGGTCATCCCAGAGGGGGTTTTCTCCCATCTCCCCAGGCTTAAACACTTGCGGCTGAACAACAACCGTCTCAGTGCTCTGCCCAGGGACCTGGCAGCCTGTCAAGGCAGCCTCCAGTACCTCAACATCTCCAACAACCTCTTCCGGGCCTTCCCCCCGCCTGTCCTGCAGCTGGCACACTTACAGGAGCTCCACGTGCAGAACAATGCCCTTCGCCAGCTCCCCAAGGAGCTCTTCCAGGGGCAATCCCTGAAAATGTTCAAGGCCAATGGGAACCCCCTCCGGGAGCCGCCCAGTGAAGTGTGTGCTGGTGGCATCCAGCAGATCCGGAATTACTTCAAGCAGCTTCAACATGGTTCAGGGCAGGAGGACAAGAGGGTCAAGACAATGTTCCTGGGGGCCTCGATGGCGGGGAAGTCCACCATCTGCAAAAGCCTGAAACAAGGGCGAACCCAACTGGTGCCCAAGGAAGAGCGAACGGTTGGGATAGAGATCAGCGAGTTCTGGATCGAGGACTTCACGTTTCTCTTCTGGGACTTCGCCGGCCAGCTGGAGTACTACACGACTCACCACGTGTTCATCACCCCACAGGCGCTTGTCATCCTTGTCATCAATCTCCACATGTAAGTGCCAGGCTGGCTTGGATTCAGAGTGGAGTGGGAGAAGAAAAAAGGGTCTGGGGAAGCTTTTCCCTGTGCAAGTTCAAGCCATTTCCATCGGACCTCAGTGCCTGGTCTTCTCACAGCTAGAGTAGCTAGCTCTCCCTCTCCCCCCTTTTTGCAGATCACTCTCTTAATTAAGCCTGTAGGTCTGTCATTAATTACCAGCCCTCTGTTTTGGGGAGGTTAGGTGAGCATTAACTCCTTATTTGACAACTGATCCCCATCTAAATGGCTTTGCTTTCTCCCTTGGA